TTACTTCAAATGGCTCACAAAACTGTCTGAAAAAAAAAAGAGAGAACTTATCTTTCACAAGATTAAACTTCGTACTTAAAACTCACAGTGATTTTTTGTAAGAGCTTTCCTGTTGTAGTTTTCTGCAGCTCTGCAAACTCTCTTCCAAGCTTATGAATAAACCACCTGTAAAACAATCAATCTAAAATATTATTAAACAATTAAGGACAAACGATTCTAACAAAATTTATTGCAAGAAATATATGTAGTAACAGCATCCTAACTTATACTTAATTTCTTGCAAGTAATCATTTTAGATACTTGATTATGAATTTTTAAATTTTCTATATTGCCAAAAAAAAAAGCTCATATGATCATAAATACACAACTAAAGATTATGTGTTTGCATGTGTCTTTCACTGTATAAATAAACAATAAACAAGGTAGGTGATAAAAATTGTCCCAGTAATTGTAGACCCATTAGTCTTACATCAGTTGTGAGAAATGTTTTGGAAAGTCTGTTAAAAGATGGTTTGCAAAGTCAATTAACAAAGTTCAGAATTTTATTGGATAGTCAACATGGTTTCACTAAGGGAAAATCTTGCCTAAAAAATCTTTAACATTCTTTGGAAAGGTTACTTCTTATGAAGATGAGGGTAAGGGTGTAGATTTGGTGTATCTGGATGTTCAGAAAGCATTTGACAAGGTGCCACATGAAAGGTTTGTAAAAAAAATTAGCTCTATAGGTATGGGGGATAAGTTACCAAATTAGATAGAAGAGTGGCTGGATGGAAGAAAACAGAGGGTTGTTACAGATGGAGTTCAGTCAATCTGGATTAATGTCACTCTAGTGGGGTACCTCAGAACTCAGTCTTAGGACATTTGCTCTTTTTGATTTACATCAATGACATAGATGAAGGGATAGTCAATAAATTACTTAAATTTGCAGATGATATTAAGGTCTTGGGTGTTGCTAGCTGTGAAAAGGATGCTGCTGATTTACAAGAGGATTTAGATCATTTAGTGACTTGGGCAAATAAATGGCAGATGGGTTTTTATTATAATACATGCAAGATGATGCATGTGGATTATCATAATTTGAATAATAAGTATAATTTGGATAGGAATAACCTTAATAGTGTTATGAAGGAAAGGGATCTCGGTGTAATAGTCGGTCAGTTTCCAAAGCCATCCAAGCAGTGAGCTATTGCTAGTGGTAGGGCAAATACGATTTTAGGTTGTATCTATAGAAATATTGAATACAGTTCTAAAGAGGTCATACTTTAATTGTACAGGTCACTGGTTAGACCACATTTGGAATATTGTGTTCAGTCTTGGTCTCCTTACCTTGAATTTCTCTGAACCATTTCCAACAAGGGTTACTAGAATGGTGCCTGGGATGGAGGGGTTGTCATATGAGGAGAGGTTAAGATGTTTGAAACTGTTTTCTCTTGAAAAATGAAGAGTTAGAGGGGATCTGAATGAAGTGTTTAAGATTGTAAAGGGAATTGATAGTGTTGATGCATCATCTTTTTTTTTTCATACTTAATGGTGAGAATAATAGGACTAGGGGACACAAATATAAATTTTGGCAAGGTAGGAGTCAACTACAGCTAAGACAGTTTTTATTTATCTAACAGACCTCTGGAATGGGTTGCTTTCAGAGATTGTGGAGGTAGTAAATTAAAGTGAGTTTAAGAGAAAGTTTGATAACTATATAAATGATAATGGCTGGCTTTAAAATAGAAAAAAAAGTTATAATAGTTTAGTTTAGAGCAGTGTTTCCCAACTTCCCAGGCACGAATCATTATTTGCTGGGAAATCAAATGTTGTACGAATATATAGTATTAGTAACTAATGTTACTGGTGCACAGTGAAATATTCAAAAGATCTGTTGGGGCACAGTGGCTTAGAGGATGGAACAGTAGGTCCCTTGTTATTCCTAAATATTATGTTATATTATCTGGTTGGATGGAATCTCCTGGATAGAAAGTAGTCATATCAGAAAATTAAATTAATACATGTGAAGCCTATTTTGCTTAATATAAAGGAACATTTTTTTGCATATTATCATGCAGAAGTGGAGTATAGTAGTGTAAAAACTAAAATTCTGTAAGTAATTTTATTTAAAATAGTACATTATTAAATATATAGACACATATTGATGTAAAATACTAAAACAGTGTAAGATGAACTAAACATTTGAGTGTTTTGAACTAATATGGGTTGTCAGTTTCAGAAAATTTGCAAGAATGGCTTTTATTCAGTAATAAAGTGTGCAGGGAATGTATTTCCCGTGTGAACCAAATAATGTAGTTTAGAATGCAGAAAGCATTGCATCATGTATCATTTTGTGTCAGTGTTAAGAAATATTACATTACAGTATTGTAACATACAAGTCCATTTCATAGTGTAAAATCTATGATAAATTAATCCAAGAAAGATAAAAATAGCAGGTTATTGAGACCATTGAGGTCATTCTTCCATCAAAAGTTTTTAACGTAAATATGAAATCTAAGTAAATGTATTTTGTAAACCTTATTGTGCATATGTCTATTTGATAAAAGTTTTATAGAATTAAGGCTAGCAGCAAGCTGTTCCACAAGTTTACAACTGATTGAAATGAAAAATAACTTCCTTGTCAGTAATACTAATGTTTTCAACTCCTTCATTCCTTTGTAAACAAACCACTCATAACATTTTTTAATAACTCAATGAAGTTGCCTCTAATTCTTATGTATATCTTAGAGTAAACAAATACAAAATTCTAAAATTTTAAGCCTGTCATTAAAATTAAGCTAGGTATCATTTTAGTAAACCGTGTGTTATCCTTCTGTTGGTCATTACACCAGGGTTGTTGTGGATAGGTCTCAAGGGAGGTGTATCTGTGCCTAGAACTGTATTATTTATCAAGTGTTATTCTAGCAAGAAATATACTAAATTTACCTTTTTTTGTATGCCTGAAAATTGGGGAGTCACAAGTTGTTCAGATCAATGAAAGGGGTCTTAGTCCTGATATGTTTGAGAATCCTTGCAATACACCGTATCTCCCAAAAGTTTATATTTATTGTGTAGTAAAGGGATAGGAGCAGCATGCATTACTTGAGAAAAGACATCACCAGAGTATTCTATCTAGTTACCTTCTTGTTACAAAATTCTTATAAATTTTAAAGTACAAATGGAACTCAGAACTTTATTAGCTCTTTATTATCACAGTTAAACACTGAAAAACTGAAGTTGGTAAGTGAATCAAATTCAAGTTTGAATATTATGCTGAGAATCACTATCAAAGCCATCTTTCTTCCAGCATTTTGGTAACAACAAAATTTACAGTAATAAGTCCATAATTTTCTAGATGTTTCTTCAATCAGTTCTTTTTAAAGACATTTTATCCTTTCTTTTTAATAACAACTTTTGTAATATTTCATTGGAAGTGGGAAAAAAAAGAGAGTAGTGTGCCATCTTTTATATTTCTGATCACTATATTTACATATGGCTTTGTATCTCTAAAGAATCCTCACTGCAAAATTAAAGTTCTTTGAAACTAGATGACAAGTAGGTATTTTACTAGGTAAATGTTTTATGTAAACTTATAATAGTAATTAGTTGTATGCAATTATGCATAACAAAAGAAAATGATAATGAACAATGTATTTAATTACTTAGGTTTGATTGAATAACTTTTTCCATGCATTATTTTACAGCAACACATTTTGTTTTATTGCAAGCCTCATCACATGGTTTTGTGTAAAAGTAATTTGATCAAATTGCAGCTCTGGTAACCCTCGTATAAAATTTAGTATTGTAATAAGAAGAGTCTTACAAATTCTGTTAGAAACACTGTACTGAAATTGGAAGAAGTAAAAGTGTACATATTTCACTTTACATACACGTATGTTGTCAGTATTCCTACAATAATTCTCAGTTGATTACTGGTGATTAAAATTAATTTTTATACATGGATTAGCTTGTGTGGTGGCATTCCTTCATTTTTTTTATTATTATTATGGTTTTGTTTGATGTACCTTTTCCCCTGTCATTTAGTTGAATTGTCTCTTAAGTATAATAATGCTTGGAGACGGCTTGAATGGATAATGAAGAAAAACTTTAATATAAGTTTGACAAGACCTTGTTGAAACATTGTACATTTGCTGTTATGTTAAACTTATATTAAAGTTTTTCTTCATTAT